GACAGGGTCTCACTATGTCATTGAGACTGACCTCGAAATCACTATGTAGCCCAGGCTCATCTTGAACTCACAGTGATCCTCCTGCCTCAGCCTCCCGAGTTTGGGGATTACAGGTGTGTGCTACCACGCCTGGCACTTACTGAACATTTTTTATTCTGTTTCATTTACTGCCTAGAAATGTTCCATAGGATTTCACTTTGATTTCTTACAACAACTTGGGAAGTAGATCAGTGATCTCCATCTTGTAGGGAGAATACAAGCCCAGGCTTAACATCACTTGGTTGTAAGCCAGGATTCCATTCCATATGCAGGTCTGTGGCACTGTGGGACAGGGGCTATTTCAGCTGTACCAGGATGTCCTAGAGATTGCTGACTGAGGGAGCCTGTACCAGAAAGAGGTGTCTGAAGGACTGAGGATGAACAATGGCAGGTATGTACGCCCTGTGGAGCCAAAAATATCATTAAGTCCTGTCACAAGGTTAAGACCTGTCATGCAATTGCTAATTATGTGGCTTTGAGTCTTCCGACTCCTTCTGAACCCTGATTTCCTCATCTGTACAATGAGACTAATAACAGCATCCATTCCAGAAGGAGCAGAGAATGAATTGGGACCTGTAAAGCATTTCACAAAGTGCCTGGTACACAGGAAGTACTTAATAAACATCTCTGCTCCTATTACTGAAAGCACCTACTCAACAATAATTTAATTATCACTTCAGTGGGGGCGTATCTAGCCACATGCAGATCGTAGCAACATAAATCATCATCTCCTTTCCACCGCACTGAATGCCCGTGACTTCTGACCCTGGACTCTTAGTAAGCTCCTAATCTGTTCCCTGCTGACAGGCTAACTTTCCAAACCCCAGTTCTGATCCTGTGTATCTTCCTTCTGCTGAAACACCAACTTGGCACTAAGTCCGAGTCCCTTTTCTCGGCCTCCTTGTTTTCACTGTTGCCCTACGTGAACTTGGATTTCATCTGAACCAGATTCAAGCCTTTCTTCACATACACAATCCTCCGGCATTTTCTTCATCCAGAATGATCATCCCTCTACATCTCCTCCCATTCTGTACCCACCATGGGCTTTCTGTCCAAAATTGTTTCAGATTTTATATTTGCCATGCAAGTGCTTTATGAGTACTAGTACATTTTCTACCCATGGCAGGTTAATGAAGGGGATGCTATTATCCCTGTAGTATGGATGAGAAAACTGAGGCTCAGAGTAGCAACACATGCAAGGCCACTGCATTAGTCACTTCCCCATTGCTGTGACAAAATACCTAATGTCTGCAACTTGAGGGAGGAGAGGTTTATTTGACTCTCAGACTCAAAAGCGTTCAGTCCACAGTTAGCTGGCTTTAAGGCAGGAAATGGCATGGTGGAAGGGCCTGGTGGAGGAAAGCTGCTCACCCCATGGTGGCCAGGAAGCAGAGAGAGCCGGAGCGAGTGCTGTACATCCCAGAGCACACCCTAGTGTTCCACTGCTTCAACTTGGCCCCACCTCCTAACCACACGTTCAGCTAGGAATTCATCCACAGAGCAGTCCACTGATGAGTACAGTGCCCCATGATCCGGTCATCTTCTGAAACTCCACCTCTGAACACATGAGACTTTTGGGGGATGTTTTAGATCTAAGCAGTAACAGTTGTGTTATTAGTAAGTGCACAAGACTTCTTGGACTCAAGTTCATGTTCATACCCACTACACTGCATACTTTTCCTGCCTCCTCTGAGGGTGTGCAGACAACTTATTCCTTTCAACTCCTCAGGCCTTTATTTCTTGGGTTATCATGGCGTTACTAAAAGAGATTGTATTCTGCCCTTAGGTAGACCTGAGTTCGAACTCTGGGTCTTCCTTTTATTCATGTGTCCTGTTCCTGAGATTAGATTTCCTTATCTAGTAAGTTGGAGGTCATGAAACTCCCTTCATATGGCATCTGTGAAGACAGAAAGAGCCTGAGGACTGTAAGGGCCCATTCAGAGCCTGATTCACGCAAGGTTTCTACTTTCCATCCCTACCTGTTCCTGCATGACATGATTTGTGTTCCCTATTCATTGGGAGCATGGCTTCCTCTTTTTTTTGGTGGGGTTACTGGGAATCGAACTGGCAGAACCACTGAGCCAAAGCCCCGGCTCAGCATGGCTTCCTCTTAATCACCACTGTGTCTCACAGTGGTGAGAATAATGCTTCTCAGGTGCTTGAGAAACCTAGCTAAGTGGTCTCTGTTTGCTTAACTTCTCAGCATTTTTTTTGTGTGTGTCCTTAAAGCTAGTGGTATTAAAAATACACTTTTATTTTCCTTTCCATCTGTGTCATTCACTCATTCAACAAACATCTATTGGGCACCTACCACGTGTTAGGCAGTGGCACTAGGTGCTCGTGATAGAGTAGTACACACACACATCAGGTATTCTGTAGCTTGAATATTGCTCTTTAGTAACAGAAACAGCCTGGCCCTAGTTCTGGGGCTTGGATGAGCAGAGCTTTGTTGCCAAGCCTGGGTGGAGGGAGCTTCGTAGAGTTGGAGCTTATAGGAGATTAGCCATTCCTGGGGTCTTGTTGCACAACTCCTTGGGCAAGTGCAGTAAAGAAAGGGGAACTCTGATGTTATAATTGGTTACGAGGTGGTTTTGTTGATGGTGGTGCTGTTGTGCTGGGAATTGAACCCAGGGCTTCACACTGCTTGACAAACACTCTACCACTGAGCTGCACACCCAGTCCTTTATCTTTTCAATTTTATTTTGAGGCGAGGTCTTGCTACATTTCACAAGCTGTCTCTGACCATGGATCCTCCTGCCTCAACCTTCTAAATAGCTAGGATTACAGGGGTACACCACTGCACCTGGGACCACGGCACCACATCTAATGTTAGGGTGTCTTCATCCTGCAGAGAAGTCATCATATTTGTCTTTATCAGACAGGCTGAGTTAATTAATACCTTGGCCCAAACCCAGTCCCAGCCAACTTCACATGCAAAGCGATGGCCACTCAGCTCGCTGTGAAGGTGATAGGGTGGGGTCACACGGAGGAGGAAGTATATCCTAATTTTATCTTTGATGCTTCCTTGATATGTTGTTGGCTTGAAGCATAATCCCAGGGATACTCTTGGAGACTCAAAGGCAGCACCACAGCTGCATAAGTCTTCTCATGTTGCTCAGAACGGCCCTCCCAGCCCCTTGGTCAACACTCTGCTACTCAGTTCCCTGCCACCTCAGTGGCATCCACAGGATGGCCTAGCATGGGCCCAACCTCCAACAGCTCCCTGTTGAACTTCCTCTCCTCCCTGCCAAAACAATTATACCTTCTCTGACCTGTCTTAAAGAGCACCCTAGTGACAGCAAAGCCCTTGACTCCCAGTGGCAACCTCCAGCCATTACTCTCAGTGCTCGCCTGCCGAGTTTCCGTATCAACTCCTGGTTTAAGGAAGCTACCAGCTCAAGGAGACAAGCTGCTCCTAGTTCAGGGAGATGACCTCCTAGTTCAGGGAGACCAGCTCCTAGTTAAGGAAGAGCAGCTCCTAGTTTAGGGAGATCAACTCCCACTTCAGGGTGACAAACACCTAGTTCGGGGACACAAGCTCCTAGCTAAAGGAGACCAGCCCCGGATTGAGAAAAACCAGCTCTGACTTTAAGGGGACATGTTCCTATTTCATGGAAAAAGACTTCTAGTTGAGGGAGACCAGCTCCTAGTTCAGGGAAACAAGCTCCCAGCATACTCTGGCCATACTCACTGTGCTGTGCCCCCTCTTCTCCCGTAAATCCCTACCTCCCAAGTTCCATGACTGGTAGTCCCCTCCCACCCATGTGACCCTTGGCTTGGCCTCATGGCTGGCTTTGCCCCTACCCCCATGCCCAGCGTTGGTGCTTCTAGGCCCCTGTGGCCTACGGCTCTCCAAATGCACGACACCCTCAACCCAGTGTGAGCCCACTCATGCCCTAGGTGCCAAAGCTCCTCCCCCTTCCACTAGCAGAAGGAGACTGGTGGGCACAAGTAAGATGTGTGGACAAGATGCCTTGGTGGGGACCCTCTCAGTGCTGCTCAGGGCCTTGCAGTCAGGGGCATGTTCTGGGAGAAGAGTTGCAGCCGGAGTCCCCCTCCTTGATACATACAGGAGCTGAGGGGAGCATGGGCCAGGGCCTGGAAGAATTCCCCCATCCCTGAGAAGAGGAGGCCTGCATCAGCATCCCTTCCCAACCCTCCCTTTGTATGATCCCAAGCAAGCCAACCACTATGACCTTGTCTGTGATCTGAGAACTTTTTGTGGTATGAAAAGTTGCTCTTATTTCTAAACACCAACGCGGAGAGTCATCCCAAGTGGGGAATAGGGGAAAGCTCCAGAGTGGAGCTCCCAGGAGGAGGTGGGAGGTCACAATGAGATAGTTGGGGACTACAGTGGTGGCACAGTGGTAGGGTAGAAGGCTAGGATGACCAAATAATCCTTGGGCACAGTAAACAAGTATCCTTTATGCATGGCGTGTTTAACAGACCTGGTAGGAGGCCCTGTTAAAACTGCAGCAGCAGGATGTGTAGTCCTGGGTAAGCTCTCCAGCCTTACTTTCTCTTAGACAATTTAAAGATGACTCGTTCTAAAGGTCAGCGCGGGTTGATTCGCTTCCCCCAAGCTTCGCTCCAGATACTGGTTATGATAATGATCTGAAGGCCACTCCTGAAAACTCTGACTTCACTTGAGCCTCCAGACATCAGGGTGACTAAAGTGGGGTGAAAGGTCTGCGTCTCTGTCCTCCCACTGTCTGTCCCCTCTGCTGTCTCAACCCTTGGCTCAGCCTACTAAGTTCTGCACATGCATACACTGATTGCTTAAAAAGATTTTTATCTGAGGCCAACACAGACATAACTCGGCCTATTACCCGTGGGTGCTGCCGCAGGGTTTCTTTTTCTTTCTGTTTCCCTCTTTTCTGCCCCTGTCCTGTGCTTCCTCAAGAGCCACGGAGTGCCTCATGTCCATTATCCCTACCCTAGGGCTCTGACCACTAGGCTGGGACGTTTTGTGCAGGATGATGACACCGGCTCCGTGAAGATTCAACTGCCTCTGAGACAACTGACTGACTAGTCCCTCAAAGAGGAACATCTTTTGGAACCCTGCCCCTGGCCAGTGGGAATGACCAAACTAGCCCACGCTGAGATAGAGGAGAAGCACCTGACTTTCCAGCTTTTTCTAGTGCCCCATGGCTGGAGGGGGACACAGCTTGGCCCTCCCCCAGCCCTCCCCCTGCTCCACCCCCACGAACTGGAACAACTTGCTCCAGTGACTTCTGGGGTTATCTAACAGCCACTTTCCTCCTCTCCCCTCTAACAGGAGTACAGTTCAACCCAGCAGGAAGCTTCTCCCCACTCCCACTTTAGGAAGGGCTGCTGCCACTTTGAAGGAGGGGGAGGGGCATGTGGTGTGGCTAAAATCAGGGAGTGAGGAAGGGTGGATCAGGCCCTATTGTTAACAGCCCCGTCCCCCTAGCTTTCCAGAAGATTCCCAGGTACCAGCCCTGCCCCCTCACTGGGTCGCTACCATGACAACTATGGCTGTGTCCTGCACCCACTTAGACCAATCACGGATCTGTACTTGGACCAATCACAGGCCTGCGGCTGCTACATTTTTTAGTTGGTTTAGGAGGGTTTCCTCCCGCTGACACCCCTGTGCTGCAGCATAGGTCCTGCTAAAGAGTCGTTTTGGTGGTGCAGTAAACCGGCTAGTGATTTGTTTCTTGGGTAGTGTGGGTTCCAAATATCCTGTAAATCTACTCCTGGGTAAGGATGGTCAAAGTGTTGTTTTCAAAAGAAAGAGCAATAAACACAAGGGGCTATTTGCTTTCCAGCGTCCAGCCGTCATGAAGGGCTTGGGGTGAGAAGTAAGAGCTGCTTCTGTGAGGCCACAAGATGGCAGCACAGAGCAGCAAGTGTAGAAGCTTTGAGGTAGCCTCCCTACTCCCTGGGGTTGTCTTGTTACACATTTCACACTGGGGACTTTCACTTGAGATTTGGACAGCCCAAAAAAGAGACACGGAGCCATGGACTGGATGAAATATTCTTTTTCAGCTGTTTAGTCCATCTCTTTAGCTGCTCGAGCAGCCATCAGCCATTGTGCACACAAGGCAGTCCTCAGCCTCCAGCCAGCCCACACAACAGTCCTTGGATGACAACCTTGGTTATGTAAGTTATTTACCCTGGCCAGCTTGATCTTGGCTACAGAAATTATTTACATGGGGGTGATGGGAGATGTGTCTGTGCTGGGTTCTATTGACACAGAAACCACTGCCTCCAGATCCCCTTGCCTTGGCAGTCTGAACCAAAGTGCCGCCATCTTGAGCTTTCCTGTTTCACTACAGGGTGTTGCCCAAATTCAAGGGAAGGGAGGGGGAGTGGCCTCACACCACCCCAGTGTGTCATCTGCACTAATAAGGCTGCACCTGGACAGTCCGGGGCTGGGAGCAAAAATGTTAGAGAGTTTGAAGCCTCTCCTGCTGCACCCAGGCTGCTGGCAAAGCCAACAGTGATTGTTCTGTGTGTGTGTGTGCGCGCGCACACACACACGCACACGCACGCGGGTACACCTGTGTGACTATTAGGGCTGGTCAGGCCCGATTTGGCCATGACATGGCTGATAAATACATTGTTAAATTCTAAGCTACGGTGAAAAATCATAGCCCTCAGCAAATGGACACCATTCCTTCAGTCTCTGCCTAGATATAGGCTGAGCAGGTAGAACACAGAACAGGATGTTACAGAAAAGAGATAAGGCCACCAAGTACAGCACTTCCCCACACCAAGTTACCCAATATCATGCACACATCGGCCTGGTCCTGGCATGGACCCCGACCACAAATATTTGCTCCAACCCCTGTCTGTGACACACATGCAAGACTCTTTTCCCAGTCTCCTAGAAAGTTCTCTGCTATTATTTTGCTCATCACTGATGGGCTTGTGGCCTTCAGTCCATCTCTACCCAGGTGAAGAAAACCTGTACCTCGCTGCCTTCCTTTGGCCTGGTCAGGTGATCGTATTCTTCCACCATTTGTCACAGGGTTAATGGAGCCTGGTCTTCTCTCCAGTGCTGTCTTGGGAAGAGCAAGCACTCCCTGCCTCTTCCTCCTGCCCAGGCCAAGGGGAAGGGGCAAGGGTGAGATAGGGATTCGGATGTGTTACAACCTGGCTGGGGAAATGTATGTGACCAGTTAACTACAAGATCCCAGACACAGGCGCAGAGCAGCTCCCAAAGCCCTGCACGTGACTTAACCCCAGCCCTCCAGCAGATTTTCAATAGGAAGAAGTCATCAGACTGAGGAGTGGGATCCCAGCACTGCCTCTCAGGACCCATATGTAGATGTTCTCGCAGGTTTCCAGGAGATTTGGATCGTAGGAAAGAAAGGCATCCATGAGGCGTGCAACCATAGCTTTCCGCAATAGCTCAAGCTGTATTTCTCAGACACAGTGCATGTTAGGGACCTGACACCACCATCACAGGCTGCATTTTCCTGGTGCTTCTTGGCTCTTAAAGACCTTATGCTCTTATCTTTAGTTTCCCTTCCCCCTAAGGCCACAGCGGTCTGGAGAGGTTAGACCTTTTTCTCCAGGACCAAACCATAAAGGGCAACCTGGCCTGTGATAGGTTAAAGGTAGCCCACTCCTCATAAATAAGCAGTAGCGCACCCAAAATGATAAAAGGACCTTCCTTTCTTTGTTCTCTCTGCCCTCTCTCTTCTTCTTCCCTTTCTCCCTCTCTGCTCCGCTCTCTGAATAAAGTCTCCAGTCGGACCTCTTGGTGTGTATGTGACCTAGTTGTTGAGCGTCACTATTCCCTTTCAGCGTGTACTTTTATTTTGGGGTTTTTGTTTTTTGGTTTTTGATTTTTTGAGACAGGGTCTCACTATGTAGTTGAGACTGACCTGGAACTCACTATGTAGCCCAGGCTGGTCTCGAACCGCAATGTGTACTTTTATCTTTGCTCTTACCCTCTTTTGCTCTTAGCCCAAGCTCACTCGCTCAGCAGACTCAGTTTCCCCCCTACTTTTCACTTTTACTTTCTTGAGTAAAATTTCCCTCTGCTTTTGCTTGCTTTGTTCAAGATGAGGAGAACCTGGACTCTAACTCCACAAGGAGAGGGGAGCAACCCAGAATCCGGTAATGTTTAGCTGGAGAGCTGCTTTTAGAAGCAGACTTCCAGGTAACAAAGGCTGTACGAGGCAGACAGGTGTTGTGGCAGAGAAGCTGGGCCTTGAGGCCTGACCTGGTCTAATTCCAGCTCTACTGTAAGGAGCTGGGAGACCTTTAAGACTGCTAGGTAGATAGAGACTCGGAGATGAGCAATCCAGGTCGAAAGATTAAATAGCCTGACAAGTAGTGTACAGCAGCATGTCAGGGGTGTGAAGTAGATTACAACCCAGGCCCACAACTGTTACACCTGGGATGGAGGGCGGAGCTGTGCTGGGATGGAATGAGGAAGTTAGCGGGTTTTAAATCCAGAACAGAAGTTTAACTGCTGTGGGGAGGAGGGGGAGGCTTTAAACTAACAAAGCTCCCCAAAGCCTCAGTTTCCTCTTCTGTAAAACAAGGAAACAGAGTCTGTTTTGTGTCACTGTTGCCAGGTTCTGGCATTCTGTAGACTCCAGGTTCTTGGCGTCCTGAACAAAGAATTTGGCAAGACATGCGAAAAAGGTAGTGAAGCTTTACATTTATTACAAGTAGGGAAAGAAGTATGTTCAGCAGAGTGAGAGCAGGCCACTGAGAGTTCGCAGTGGCCATGGGGTTAATGATGAACGTCTTTGTATCCCTCATTCTTCAGCTGACATTAGATCTAGGCCATCCTATCAGAAACCTGCTTGATTTCTTGCCAGAATTGAAGATAGCACTTTCTGATTGGCCTGTGCATGTGTCCTGACTCTCTGTGACTGCAGGACATGCCCAGTTGCTCAGCCTGTCAGCTGCACCCTCATCTCTTGCCTCACTGTTGTGACCAAGGCTACCCCTGGGTAGCCTTCCTGAGTATCCACCTAGCCCAGGCTAGTTCAGGGCCTTTCCACCCTTCTCCTCCCCCTCAGCCATGTGGTGGCAGGAGGCTCTTTGGGGTGAGGTTCAGCAGGCCTCCCAGGCTCCCCAACTCCTGCAGGGGACTGGGCAGTGTGGGGAGCTGTAGACATCTGCGAGGCTGTGGAACTTGGGCCTGCATTGTGTCGGCTGTGTCCTGTCCCCTCCCCCATCCTAAATGCTTCAGGGATTTATTTTCAAAGCTGCCTGTGATATTCATGTAAAGAAAACGAAAGGGGAAAGAAGCTAAGCCAGGGCTCCTGTGAGCCAGGCAGTGGAGGAGCCAGAGTCCTCAGAGACTGCCGTATAAACATGCCATTAAAATCCCATTTAGAAGAGCTTGAGGGGTCCGGGGACGCAGCTGGGGAGTGCTGGAGTTGCAACTGAAATGCAATCTTGGCCTTCGGCTTCCAGTGGCCCACTGTGCCTAGAGCCACAGAGAAGCCCAGGCCTGGCTGCTTAGAATCCAGGGCCTCCCCAAAGAGAAGGAGGAGTGTCCCTCTTCTTGCCTGCCTGCACTTTCCTGCAAAGCAAACCGAGGCCCAGAGAGCACAAGGGGCCAGGAGGGTCACAGCCTGTACCAAAGCTGTACTGATCTCCACTGTCCCATTCGGCTGCGACGCACACCCATCCCACGCTGTTATAGCTGTCTCAGTAAAAAAAAAAAAAAATCACACCACACAAATGTCCAGATTTTTTAATTGTCGGTGACCAAGGATGAGCTCATGCTCCCATCTTCCTTGGTACCAATGAAGCAGGGAATCGCAGTTTTTAAAGGGGGGAAAACACACACACACACACAATAGAATGTCATGATCTCATCTTTGAGCAAGCACAGGGGTACAGAAGCAGATTATAAATTAGATTAAAATCCAATTTTTGCAATCCGGCAGGAAATTCCTATCCTCATGGTTAGGGCCACAGCATAACATGTCTTGGCCTTTATTCTTAACCACAAGGTAAGCTATGTGCTGGTTAACTTAGCACTTTGCATCCTTTGATTTTTTTTTTTCAGTCTATGAATATCTTTTTTTGGTACTGGGGATCAAACTCAGGTCCTTGCGCTTGTGAGGCAGGCCGTGGCACTACTAAGTTAAACCCCAGGCCCCTAACTTATTATTTTGAACAAGCAGTCTGGGAGGAAACGGGGTAAAGTCCAGCTGCAGGCTACTGTGGGGGTTGGTTAGGGCCTGGGCACTTTGTGGAAAGAGCCTTCTGATACCCAGTCACGATGCAGAGGGGAGGGGAGGAGTCCGTGGATGGCAGGACAGGGTCAGGCTACTTCCCTGGCTTCTGGAAAGCAAGACAGAGGTGCTTTTTTCTCTTGCCTTTATGAGGAAATTTGTAAAACACACTGCCTGAAAGGGAATAGTGACACTCAACAACTAGGTCACATACACACCAAGAGGTCCGACTGGAGACTTTATTCAGAGAGCGGAGCAGAGAGGGAGAAAGGGAAGAAGAAGAGAGAGGGCAGAGAGAACAAAGAAAGGAAGGTCCTTTTATCATTTTGGGTGCGCTACTGCTTATTTATGAGGAGTGGGCTACCTTTAACCTATCACAGGCCAGGTTGCCCTTTATGGTTTGGTCCTGGAGAAAAAGGTCTAACCTCTCCAGACCGCTGTGGCCTTAGGGGGAAGGGAAACTAAAGATAAGAGCATAAGGTCTTTAAGAGCCAAGAAGCACCAGGAAAATGCAGCCTGTGATGGTGGTGTCAGGTCCCTAACACTGCCTGGTGGCTTTAGATGTGTCGGCTGCTCCTTCTGTCACCTGAGATTCTCCTACCTGCCTGTCAGCCCTGCGTATGGTGGCCATTGTTGTATCAGTACAGCTGTCCCCACTGTCTGGCTGTGTGGCCAGGTAGGGTCATCCCACATCAGAGGGAGCCACAGTGATCAGCCTGGCAGTGGCATTGCTGGGGGCCAGGGCCACTGAGGTGATGGGGCAGGGCCAGCAGTAGGTGCCCACCTGCCCCACCAAAACAGTTAGAAATTTGAATCCAGATCCAGGAGATCAGAGGTGGGCCTGAGACTTCTCACCATGCTGAGATGCCCACTCAGTCCTGCTGTGGAGTTGGGAGCGTGTCCTGAAGGGCTCCCCCACACAGATCCCATTGCTCACATCCCATGGGGAGAAGGACAGCTCTGAGCCTGGTGTGGTGTGCAGGGAGGTGGGGACCCCAGAGTAGAGACAAGAGACCAGGGAGTGGGGCTGTGGCACCTTCCAAGGAAGCGATGGGGATGGCATGGCTAGGACAGAGACTGAGGAAACAGACTGAGCAACTGGGCATGTCCTGCAATCAGAGAGATTCGAGAACACGTGCACAGACCAATCAGAAAGTGCTATGTTCAGTAGTTCTGGCGTGAAATCAAGCAGGTTTTTGAGAGACCCCAATATCCAGGTGTGGTACTGTGGTAAGAACTGGGACATTCTGATTCCTAGGATCCTAGGGGGCAGGGAGGGAAGAGGTGGCTCTGGCAGGAGCCCGGGGCCGGCAGCTGCCCCTGAGCTCAGGATTGGAGGATGGCCAGGTGACCAGTGCCCAGCACGGAGCCTGAGGCAGAGCCTCCCTCACTACCAGGTAGGCAATGCAGCCCCTTACATGGACCACTAACCACCATGTCTGAGCCCCTGAGCTGCAGGAAGGACACCTGAGAATGGCCTGGAAGGCTGAGCCCTACCCTGGGGACATGGCTGGAGGTCACAGAGCCCTGGTTTTCTCCTGTGGCTCACATGGCCTGGGACCCATGGGGTAATGTGCTGAATCTTTGCAACATAATTGGACATATGTCCCATGATGGTGCACATAGCTCTTCCTTCCTTGCAGTGCTAGGGATGAAACCCAGGGGCCTTGTGTGTGCCAGGCAAGCACTCTTATCACCGAGCTTTGCACCCAGCCTTTCTGTGTTTTAAATTTCCATTCCTCGATGACAAGTACAAGATTCTTGCTGTTACTGAACTGACTCTTCACAAATCACCAGGCTGAGCCCAAGCCCTGTGGAGTTTCCTGTTCACCATGTTGCTATTGCCCCCTGCCTGGGACATGCAGGCTCAGATTCCCAGAGTTTTAAAATGAGTGGCCTCACAGGGCAGCCTGGTTTTGATGGTAGCCAGCAATGGCACAGTCATGCGGTCCTCTGACCTGCTCTTTGGCCTTGGGAAAGTCACTTAACCACTCAGAACCTCAGTTTTCCTCCAAAGGGAAATGGGGATGATCAAATAAGGCATGGAAGCAATACCATATTTTTTAATCAGAGGCCCCCAGGCCCAAGCTTTGCAGCACATCAAGTCCATGTCACAGAGCTCCCAGTGCCTGTGGGCCCAGTGCTGCCTGCTGGGAGGCAAAGGTTACACAGGCAGCAGCTAACCTCAGGTGCCCACAGCCTAGAGGAGCCTGCCTGGAGGACCAGAGTGAATTCCCAAGGTGCGGCCGGTCTAGAGCTGGATCCTGAGTCCTAAGCGTCCATCAAGGTCACAGGAGTACAGAACAGTGACTTTGGTGCCCTGTGGCGGAACAAGGCTCCCTCTGATACCTGCCTGACACCTGTCAACGCCTTGGCATTAGGCTGGCTGTGCTGGATGGAGGGTGGAAGCCCTGACCAGCAACCAACATAGGAATGTACAGGAAGCAGGGTCAGAAAGCTTCTGCAGGTGGCAATCTTCCTGTACTTGGTGGCTTTGCAAAACCGTAGTAGCAGGCATTGTCCACTTCATGACGGGGCCTCCAGGGCCGGGACTGCGTGATGGCTCGTCCTCGAATGAAGCTCCCAGGAAAGCTTTGCTTCTGAGCACCAAGTTTGGTCTGTTTTCTCATCTTAGGAAAGAGGCACCAAGTTGAACCTGATCTTCGCCTAAATCTGACCCTAACCCTAACCCTAACCCTAACCCTGGCCTTTCCGCCATGTCTGCTCAGCCTGTCCAGGGCAGCCCTTCTCAGAGGCCTGGAAGCAGCAGCTTTATGACTTTTCCCCACTGACTGCACCCACTACCTGGTATAATTGATTGGTCCCTCATGCAAGCGACTGTAACTGGGTTTGCTTTTTTTTTTTTTTCTTTTTCTTTTAACCTAGAGCCAAAGGAGGCAGCTGGAATGGAGGATAACAGCTAGACAAAGACCATGAATTTAAAGCTTGGGAGTGGTGAGTAGACCAGTTGGTTGCCTGTTCCCTGGGGGAAATGAGTTTGAATTAGGAAAGAGTGAGAAAGATTCATCAGGAAAAGTAGAAACATAAAATCTCTGTGCAGGCTGTGACTGTGGCTCAGTGAGAGGGTATTTGCGTAGTATATGCAAGGCCCTGGGTTCCATCACTGATACCACAAAGCAAAGCAAAACATAAACACAAGAAAATAAAGCAAAACATGAGAATTATGATGCCATGAGTCAAGGTACCCTGGCCTTCATCCCTGCCCTTTTTGTGGTTATCTGATAGCCCAGTGTGCAAACATTACATTTATTCTTGCAGAACTCTAATTAAATTGAGTTACAGACAGATTAAGGGATCTTAAGCCGGGGGAGATGGCATGATCGAAGTGAATGCTGTAGTACCAGGAGCTGGGCAAGGGGCTGCTGGGATGGCCTTGGGATAGGGGAGGAGGCCTGGACCAGAAGTGGAGGCCTGGGTGTGGAGAAGACAGGCTGTATGTGAAGCGGACTTCCAAGGCTGCATTCGCAGATATGGCTGCTAATTAGGGGAGGGAGAGGGGAAAGATGGGGGCCAGCACCTCAGGAGGATGCTCAGGGTGGGGGCATGTGGTGTGGGGAATCCTGGGTGGTGGATTTGAGGATCAGGAAGGGGTTCTAGGCTGGAGATGAGGCCTTACCAGTTTAGCAGTAGTGACTGGAGTCGTGGGAGTGAGCCAGGTTAGCTAGGACACTGTAGAAAGGGCCAAAGCGGGCTCTGCTCAGTCCAGTGTAAACAGTGGACTTCCGGTCACAATGGGGTGGTGGGGTCGGGGATGTCCCCAGGGCATTGTAGGGGGTGTGGGGAGGGCTGTATATTTCTTCTAGGAAAGGAGTACTCTCCTTGGCGGGCAGTGGAGAAAAGGAAGCCGCGTGGACCCTCCCCACCCCTTTTACTATTTTAGGGGCAAAGAGGCAGGGAACTACACAAGTGTAATGATCTCTGCTTGATAGGAACAGAAAGCTACTGGAGGATGTGAGCCATCAGGAGAAAGAAGAGCGTGAAGGTGATAAAAATGTCACAGCCCCGAGGGGATGTCAGGGATGCTAAGGGAAGAAGCAAAGCCCAGTGTGCCCGGAGTCAGGTTGTAGGGTAGAGGGCACAGGACTGAGCCCATGACAGATCATGTTTCCAGTCTGATTAGTCCAGCCCACGGAGGAAGCAGGAACAGGAACACTGGTGGGAATACAAATTACCATAAAACACAGACGGCCTTGACATCTAGGCTCTTGCTCCTGGCTGCTGGGTGCAGGGGTGCACCAGTGACAACAGTTCAGCTGAGGAGCCTGGCACGGGTGTGTGACCGGCACCACAGTGCAGCCCAGCCCTCTCCCCGTGGGTCATACCCCTCAGCGCGTTGTTGGATGTCTTGCGCATTATTGCCAGCATCTCCCTAACAGTGTGAGCGAAAATATCTTCTAGGAAACTTGAAAACCACAGAAGAAAGTAGGTGAGGGAGTCTAAGGTAGCCCAGAAATGCCCATCATGGACAGAAAAGGTAGAAAGGACACCGAGGACTGAGAGCAGGGCCACACTTGGCCTGAGTGACCCCTGCCCAGGGAGGCAGACAGGGAATCCTGGGAGCAGATGTGTCCCATTCGAAAACGCAGGGGCCAGAGCGCAGTTCCTGGGGCTGTGTGACTGTGAGCAAAGGAAAGACAAACAGAAGTCCGTGTGGATTGTTTACCCCAATGACTCATGTAAGGCGTCATTACAGATAAGGGGTCACAACCATTCACTTCCTGAGCCTTTATTTATTGGGTTTCTTTTTTTTTATTTTTGAGACAGGTTCTCGCTGTGCAGTTCAGGCTGGCCTTGAACTCACCGTGTAGCCCAGGCTGGCCTTAAACTCTGTGTTGATCCTCCTGAGTGCTGGAATTACAGGCTTACGTCACCACACCTGGCACCCGAGTCATCAGTGTCAGAAAGAAAGGGCACTGGCCAATCTTCAGACATGGATGTGGCATTTGCACTCAGTGCTGCCAGCCACTGCCTCCTGCTCTCTCCCCTCCTCGCCACTTCCTGTAGCACAGAAATCATAAACTGCATCTTAAGAGAGATTCTTAGTGGTTTGTGACGTAGATATTCAGGGTATGTAGGGATAGTCAGAAAAATCAGCTGGGCTTTCGAGGTGGGCTGTGAGCACAACGTTAATTTGTCTGTTTGAGATAATGCAATACAAGCTCCTGCTGGCCAAGTCTTCTCTAGCTGCCTAGGAGCCATGGTGATTAAAGGCCTTCGGTATTCCTAGAGAGAAATGTGGATGAGTCCGGAGGACGGAGAGGAGACAAACGCATCCTGGAATTGCCTGCTGCAAGAAATGAGGGACCTAGTGTCAGAGACCTGGGACATGTGGGCAGAGGGATGGGGCCCCTTGGAGAGCCCAGAGGCCAGCACTGCCTGTGACAGAGGGGGCACTGCAGACCCCGCAGGGAAGGCCTGGCCCAGCTTCCCAAGGAGTGGGGGCTCAGGAGAAGCCCAGCCTCCTGCCTCCAGTGCCCATGCTTTTCCCACAACTCCTATTCAGACCCTCACTGGGACAGCTGCCTCAGTTACTGCTGGGAAAACTGAGGCCACTGAGAATATCTTGGCCTGAGTCCCTGAGAGGCCAATGGCAGAGTCAGGAGTGAAGTCAGAGCACTCAGGCTTGTGATCGTCACATCCAGCAGACAATGCAGCAAGAGACCAAATTTCCTATTCAGTTTTTTTCTTATCCCTTCCCCCTTGTTACCCTTCCCATTTGAACACTTTCTTCCCATTTCCCAGTATCTATTATGCATTTTGGTCCTTATTTCTTCTTCTGGTCTCTCACATCAGAGAAACAACACAGTATTTAAACATGCGTGTCCAGTTTTACTCACTTTCCAGGGTGGCGGGGGAGCTCGAGCTGGTGAATCATGACAGGACAGTGGCTTGGGGCGGGGCAGAGAGGCCTAAGAGGCCATGACGGAAGCAGCCCAGGGTGTCACTGAGGAGAGGACGAGGTGGCAAAAATGGAGAAGTGCACAGAGGCCAGGAAGATTCAAACTGTCTGGATTTCATCACCTGCCCTTCGCACCTCCAGAGCTCAGCAGTGGAGATAATCAGTGGGAAAGGTACCCGCATGGTGACACACAATAAGCGGGTACAGGTGGTGCCCCTGCCCCCTGCTCCCCTGACCCATTTCTCCTCTGTGCTGCCCGCTGGGGCAGGTGTCAGGAGAGCCCAAGACTGCCAGCTCCAATCAGTGCCCGTAGGACTCGCTGCCGTGCCAGGGCACCCTGGCGCCAGTTCCTGAAAGCAAAGCAGGAGGGAGGTGGAGTTGGAGGAGAGGACTGGATGCCCGAACTCCAATCAGCACCCATCCCAGCCCCTGGGCTTCTCGCCGTGCTGTACCATGCCACACCCAGTCCCAGCCTTGGAGGGCACCGTAGGCCGGGAGATTCACTGCTCTGCCAGAGCAGACCCAGGCCAGCTCTGGGTCCAGGGCGTCACCCCTGATGGCTGCCCTGGGAAAGAGGTTCCCTCCACCTCATGCTGCTGACAAGAAACTGGAGCCAGGGGTGGTGGCACACACATACAGTCCCAGCACTCTGGGAGGCAGAGGCAGGTAGATCACAAGTTCAAGCCCAGCTTGGACAACACAATAACTTAGCAAGAACCTATCTCAAAAAAAAAAAAAAAAAAAAAAAAAAAAAAAAAAAAAAAAAAAAAAAAAAAAAATCAAAAGGGCTGGAAATGAAGCTCAGTTCAAGGGTCCTGGATTCAATTCCTAGTACCAGAAAGGGGGAGACAGAAAGTGGGGTTGGGGGGAAGGAAGGAGGAGGAGAGGAAGAAAGAAAGGGGATAACAAAGGAGAGGAGGAAAAAAGGAAGAAGGAAAGGGAGAAGTAAGAGAAGAAGGAGGAAGATGAGGGAGAAAAGAAAAACCAGCAGCTTCAAGGACAAGACATGGCCAGTCTTCCAGTCAGGACAGAAGTTATGACTTGCCAACTCCAGGCCTGTGTTTCCAGCCTGAGCCAGGGGCATCTGGTTTAAGCAGGATCCAGGCCCAGTCCTAAATCTCACCAAGCTGGGGCACCTCAGGAAGAGACAGTCAGGGAGGGGGTCGAGGGCCTGCACCAGCACAGATCCACCCTGCAGAAATGAGTGGGGCCTCTGCTTCCCACCCAAACTCCCCACTGTTGGGCCATGGGTGGGCTCTGGTCCCCAGGTGCCCCAGCCCCACCTCCAGGCAGAGCAGAACCTGCCACTTCTGAGCTTCTCAGCCTTGCTCAGGCACTAGGGCCTCTCTGACTTCAAGTTCTTGTCCAGGCTCCAGAGTGAGCTATTTCCTCAGACAGCACGTCCCTGTCGCTCTATGCTCTCTGTGCTCAGAGCTCCCCCCCCGCCGTGCCTTGGCCCTGTCATCTGTAGCATGTTGGGCTGAGACAGGAGTCAGTGCCCGCTTGCCTGGGACACGTCAGCTGTAGCTGAGGGCCACCTGTGACTCCAGTCCTCTGCCTTATGGGAATAACAGGAACTCAGACCCCAGTCAATCCTGGCCCCAGAGTGTGTCAAGATCTTATCAGACAGTGACTCTGTCCAGCTTCACAGGAGCTGTCACCTCTCTGCCACCCTTTCGAGATGGCTCAGGTGTTCTCCCTCAGAACACACACAGAGCCAACACTGCAGGCTTCCAGATCACCTGGCCTCCTGGGCACTCAACCCATGTCACTTAAATACCAAGGCCTTTGACATAGGAGGACTGGGACAGAGAAGTCAGGTCTCACACTGTGGGTGTGGTCACTCCAGCTGGGGCGGTGACCTCAGTGGAGTGACAGAAGGGACCTTGTTAGTGTTGGTCATCATTATGGAGATCACTGCCTGCCAGAGGTGGGCCTGGGAGGCCCAGGGCCCCTTGGTAGCAGAGGAAAACCTTTACATCAACGCAGGGCAGGGAGAGCCCTTGGACAGGTGGCTTTGCTGCAGTTTTTGCTCCCAGCTTCCCTTCCTGCAAAATGGGAGTGAGGAGACCTGGGCTGGGACTTCCAAAGCTCTCTGCTGAACACCGGTGGTTCTCAAAAGCACTTCCCACGTGGCAGGGGGCGCGTGGAGATGTTCATAGTTGCGAGTGCCGTGGTGGCAGAAGACGCAGGGCCCTGAGCTTCAGAGTGCCACCTGGAGCAGCTTCTTGGTTGAGGAAAGGCTATGGATGACTAGGGATGAGGCTCAGCCCCGAGGTTGGCCTGGGGGCCTCCTGGCCTGAATTTCAGCCTCTCCTGCCTGTGGGGTTGGGTCTTCTTTCAGCATTGTGTTTTGTCTTATACAACCTTCTTTACTCAGATAACACTCGCTGCATAATTTGGGCTCGGTTAAAAAGGAAGGCATCATAAGTGGTTCTCTGTGGAACATTTGCACCGTGCCTGACTTTTTAGTGGGTCAATATTAATGATTCCTCCTAGAGATCCTACCCCAGCTCATTGTTTTTGTTGCTGTTGGTTTTTTTTTTGTTTGTTTGTTTGGTTTTTTGAGATAGGGACTCACTATGTAGTTGAGACTGACCTGGAACTCACTATGTAGCCCGGGCTGGTCTTGAACTCACAGTGATCCTCCTGCCTCAGCCTCCTGAGTGCTGGGGTTACAGGTGTGCGCCACCACACCTGGCTGCCCCAGCTCATTGTGCACAGCTGGACACTTAGGCTCTTTTCCAAGTCCGGGCCATTACACACCAGGCTGTGGGAAATATTCTTTTGCACAAAGTCCTGCTTCATGTCCTGAGTGTCAGCTGAAAATGTTGGGAGCCCTCTTTCCCACATGCCCTGGGGCACAATCTCTCCCTCATTACATGGCAAGAACAGCTGACCTCATGGGACTGAGAAGGAGAAAAGAGGCAGCGCCAAGACCTTGAGCCCCAGCCCTGCTGGCCTAAGGACGGCGGGTCCTCTTGCTGCTCCCAGCTACCCAGAAGGTAGTCACAGTGGGGAGCCTTATACCCACCAGGCCTGGAGGCCCCTGAGGCCTGGGAGCAGCCCAGAGTGAACTGGGCCACACTCATGAGCTCCTGCTGCATCCCAGGCACAGCCGTATGAACTGGCTGCCTTATGTGAGACCCACGAAGCAGGCCTGCGGAGTTGGATGCACATCTCTACCTCACAGGTGAGCAAACTGAGGTCCAGAGAGGTCTGATGACTTCTCCAGGGTTGCACAGTGGCCTAGGGTAGAGGAGGACTAAAGCCTGAGTCTCTGGGGCCATTTGCATGGCCCGTTTCCCATTCTCTCTCCTCTGTGTCCCAGGGACCGAGTGGCCTCCACCCTCTGCTATTGCAGTGTGCTTGGCTGCACAGTAGTTCTGGTGGCGGGGCTGCTCTACTGCACTTGGGGGAGTTAAGGGATGCGGGTGCCCTGCTTGGGGTGGCCGGCTGCTTCTGCCATGTCATAGGCGGCCTGCTGCTGCTCTCTGGCCCTCTGCAGTCCATCAAGGCCAGCACGTGGGGGCTGCCTGTGGGCCCTGCACGCCCACTGCCCAGGGTACTGTATCACTGCAGTGTCCTCAGGAAGGAGAGCTGCAGGTCAGTGGGGCGGGGGTGAGTCCCTGACCAGCATTGTGCTGCCCGCATTTGCTCAGTAAACTCTCGAGAGTCCTCCTCTGGACCAGCCCTGTCTTGTGCCCTGAGGACGAGCCCCGTGACAGAGGTGGGGGACAAACCGGAGGGGCCAGAGCTGGGTGAGAGAAGGTGAGGTCCTGCAGAGGTTTGCGGAAAGGCAGGAAGGTTCCCAGGAGCAGTTGGCAGCCGAGCTCAGCAGAGGAGGTAAAG